CATTAATGATTTATCGACGGGTTAAATATCTAAAATTATAGGGATAATTTTATTATTTTATTGATAGCTTCATCAAAACCAAAATTTCAGTAGTAATTTTTTAGCAAGAGAAGTAGGGATTCACTATTATCATAAAGATTCTTCAATCCAGTTTTTTTTTTTTTAGCGGGAGCACTAGGGTTTCGTCTTTCGTCAGCAGAATTTGAGGTTTCGTCTTTCGTCAGGGGTTCGTTATTTTGGGGCTTAGGTTTCGTCTTTCGTCACCAAGCAAAAAAGGTTTCGTCTAACAACTATAGTGAAGTCCTACAACGCTAATAAAACTTTCTATTTTATTTATTCGTAGTAGTTTGATTTTTTTTGAAAAGTACTTTAAACTGTATAAATAATGTAAAATTAAATTGATTTAAACAGCCAATCATACGTATGTCTGCCTATGAAATTTTCGGCCTTTCTTCACTTGGCCTTGTTTTAAGCTCAGATTTAAATTATGTTTTGACTTCGTCATACTTTTCGTATCGCAGATTCAAGTATTAATCAAGATTCATATCCATATGGATACAACTGAACTTAGAAAGTACAGAAAAAAACAGGTATAAAATGGGTCGGTATTAAGCATGCTAGTCAACTCGGTAAATATCTAATAGCAATATTTATTTAATGAAAACGGATCATGAATTTATCAATAAACCGATAGCAATAGCGATCATGGGTAAAATTAATCTGGAATTTTCGAAGGATCTTGTATAAGCAATATAAAAAGTTAATAAGAAAATTGGTTTATTTTATAGGATGACGATCAGCTAGCAAAATGGGTTAACAATGATTAGATACAGTAATTAACAAATAAACCCTTGTTAAGGCATCTTGCTATTTCTTTGTCAATTAAGCCAGAAAAAATTAGAAGAAAAATATAAAATATCGCACAAGGCTATTTATACACAATTCGTTATTGTCATCTAATAATTTTTCACTTCCTTATCCTATGCATAGTACGTAGAACTATATTTAAATTTAAATTTCTCAACAAATCTTAGAAACTAATAATTTTTATTTATCATGAAACGGACATATTATATGGATCAAATCTTAATACTTTTAATTAAGATAAATAAGGTACGAGAACGTAATTTATTACGCAAAAGAAAAAACTTTAGATAGGAAAGGCAAACTTTACATAATGACATTATTTGTATGCCAAAATTAAACAGACTGGCCTAAACTATGCGTTTTAACTTTAAACCAGGTCGAATGCTTGCTGTGATGATCATTGGGGTTAACTACCCTAAAAGAGTTTAACTAGTTAAAAATTTCAAGATATAGTTAAAATTACTGATTTGTATAGTTCTGATTTTCCGTATTCCTTTTTGCGTTACACCATTAATTTGGTTAAATTATTCCAAAAAAGTGATAAATTCTATATTATATGGTCTACAAAATATAATATAATACAAAATAAAACTATTATTTAAAGCAATAAAGTTTTCTGAAAATTTTAATTAATGGTATATATATATATATATTCAATTTACTTCACTTTTCTCGTGATCTTCGTTAAACTTACTCTAAAAATCGATTAGCCTGTGAATTGTGTGCATGATTCATTATAACCATTACTAGGTTTATTATGCCAAATCATAAAATATGGAAAATTGTTAAATGTTGTACGTATACTTATCATTGTACACTCCCCTGACAAAAGTCACCGGCTGCCGATCATTTTTAACAATGATAAGCGAGCGAAAGGATTTGTTAAAAATCTGTTTGTGTGTAATTGTTAGAAATTACACTGTAAATACATATATGGTTAGATAGTTTAGAACCTGTTTTTTTTAAAAATGTAAAAAAAAAATTGCAATTGTGCTTTAGTTTTTTACCAATGCCGCAAAAATGTAAAGAATTGACCGAAATTGAGCGAAGCCAAATAGTCGGTGCTTGGAGATGTGGTTCTCCAGTTCCAACGATCATAAAGCAACTTAACTTTGCAAAAACGATGGTTCAAGACGTAATTAATCTTTATGAGGAAACTGGAGAGTTAAAACCTCCTGCACGGAGTGGGAGACCACCCAAATTAAATGATTACGATATACGCCACTTAACCCGTATTGTAAAAAATGATAGAAGAATTAGTTTAAATGTTTTACAAAATGAATTTTTGCAGTCGACCTCCGTAGACGTTTCCGCACGTACCCTACAATGGTACCTTCATATAGAAGGTTACTATGCCCATGTCGGTAAGAGAAAACCATACATTAGCATGCCAAATCGAAAGATCCGTTACAACTGGGCAAAAGAATGTTTGGATTGGACTTCTAAATGGGATAGAATTATTTGGAGTGACGAGTCTCGCTTCGAAGTGTTTCAGGGTGATGGTCATAGCTATGTTTGGCACTTACCTAATGAAAAATATGATGTAAATTGTCTTGTGCCAATGTTTAAGTCGGGTAGAAGAGGGGTGATAGTATGGGGATGTTTTACTGCAGATGGTTTGGGTCCATTGATCCGAATTAATGGCCGACAAAATTCAAGGGACTATGTTGACCTTTTGGAAACTCATTTATTACCTTATTTAGATATTCTTGATTCTAATTTAGACTTTATTTTCCAAGATGACAATGCACCAATTCATACGGCTCAGATCATACAAAATGGTTAGAGGAAAATCAGGTCGATCATCTTCCGTGGCCTGCACAAAGCCCAGACCTCAACCCAATCGAGCATCTTTGGGATGAATTGGAGCGTCGGGTCCATTGGCATATTCCATTGCCAACTAGTGAAACTGAACTCTTTTATTTTTGGAAGAAGAGTTGTATAACCTAGATGAATCCGTTTACCAAAATTTGGTGAATAGCATGTCTAATCGTATTCTTGCTGTAAAAAAAGCTAGAGGAAATCCTACAAAATATTAATTATATAAATAAATATAATAAAACTTTAGCTACTTTATAAAAAAAAAAATTTAAAACTTTAGTAATTTTTTTTTCCATAAAATTGGTTAGAAAATTTTTATCAGCTTATCGATCATTACTAAAAATAATCAACAGCCGGTGACTTTTGTCAGGAGAGTGTATAATGTTTGAGAACACTATAAAAAAATAAAATTTTCAATAATTACACAAAGTTATTTTATTAAATACTCATTATATTAATTATTGTAGCAGATTAAAATAAAATTTTTCTATTTTTTTAGAAAAATTTAAAATTTTTTGGGAGACATTTTTAGAGTTAGCTTTATTAATAAAAAAGTATAAGTGGGTTTTATAAGCATTAAAGTTGAGCAAGATAAGTCCCCAGTTTCATTTTAATCCGATTTCATTATGATCTGTGACAATTATTATCACAAGTTATGTAAAAAAAAAAAGATATTTTTTTTATATTATAAGTTATGTATATACATACATACGTACATGACCGTATTCTCACCAGTTTTATTTATACAAAAATATATTTATGGCCTTAAAACTTTTTTTCATTGATTTTTGCAAGAATTAAGCCTATTCTGGGAATAATTTAAATAGCTGTGATAAAAGATAAAAATTGTTATACTCTACGAGATATTACATTAGATAATCCTTTAGATTGTTATGTATTAAAAAATAATTCTGTTGATAGTTTGAATGGCCTTTCAAGTTTAAATTTGCCTAACATTTACAGGGATCATTATGGCTTTATCATGGATTCTGGATTATGTATTATCTAGTGTACTGATTTCCTCTTTGAGATTGTAGCACTTCGGAATGGAAGTCAATGTCAATGTGGAAATTACGCTAACTTAACACCATCATATACTACGACAACTAACTCAATTTGTAATATTACATGTATCAGTAATTCAAGTTATTATTGTGGTGGGGAAGAAAGTTATACGGTTTATGAAACAAAAGATGGAGTATTAGGTCATCCACTACCTACCATAAGTATTACTGATAAAATAGCGATAATTGAAAATCATAATAATGATAACCAATACCAACAATGCATTAAAAACAGTCCCTTTTGTAATCAAAGAATATTGAATGGTACAAAATTAGAACTTGCAATGGAACTCAATGTTTTTGTGCACATAATTATGATCATATTAATCAGTTAAGTTCAGATGAATACAGTAGTAGTTGTGCTGATGATATTAATCAGATTTGTGGAGATACTTTAGCTTTTAGCATATATAGTACTTCTAACAATATTCCATTACAAATAATTCTTCCTTGTGTTTTTGCTGGTGTTCTTTTATTAGCATTAATAGCAGTAGCTGCTTGAATTATTTATAAATGCAAGAAAGAAAAAAGGATTAAGGGTGAGGAGTCACCCAGTATGCCACTATCCCTCAAGATAATTAAATTGGATTGGTAGATAAGTTGTTTAAATATTAGAATTTAAATATTATATTAAAATTTGAATTTTTTATTTAAAAAAATTATTTCAAATCTATTTAATTTAAAATTTAAATTGCCTTTTAACTTTCGTGTACAAGCATATATATAGTTTAATTATTTACTTCAAATTAATAAATTTTTATTACTCTTTGTATTTAATATTTTATTTTTCCGGTTTGTTTACAAGGTAAATATGTATACATTTGGTGTCAACTTATTAGTATGCAAACTGAGTATTTGTATGTGTGCAAATACAGTACTGAAAATCTAGAACTCTTAATCTCTTTATATAGAAATAAAATGCCAAAAAAAAAATTCTTAGAAAAGATTATCCAAATTTATCAGCCTCAATAACAATTTATTCATTTGTTCAAAGAAATTTTGCCATATTTAGATAATCCTTTGCCTTGGCATATTACTTTAATACGTATCAAATTTTTTTTTTATTTATTTCTTACAGTCTGGTAGAAACATAATATGTACGAATCTACTTATTAGCACATACAGTAATGCAAACTTCTGAAAAGGAAATAGCCAATCAAAGAATGTTGTGAGGGGCTCCTGTGACCCCAAATTTATTTTCTTTTTTATTTTTATCTTTCCTTACTATTTTTATACTTTTGTACTGGTTATGACATATATTTGTGGGCTTAGTAGCACTAGACAATATAGTAATTTGTCAATTACCTGTTTGGGTAGAATCTAAGATCAAGAAGATAACGAAAATTTCATAAATGAAATTTTCGTCATTTATTTCATCTTCTTGATCTTTTCAATGAAGAAAACTTGTTGACACATGTAAGGCAAGGCATTGATGTAGCAATATAAAAACTATATTTAATGTGATGTCTTTTCATGAAAATAAAGATAACTCTTTTGAGTTCTAAAGAAAACACTAGAACTTCGAAGTTCAAATAGTAGAAGTTGTTCCTTAATACAGTCTCGGATATTACCAAATTTGGATGATGCAGATCATATCTTTTTTTGTACAATTAGAAAATTCTATTTAAGTTTATTTTGATCTATGATGATCTTTAGGGCTAAATTTATGCCCAATCATCTTTTATCTTTGTATTTGGTAAACAACTGCCTTTTAAAGCTCCTGAGATCATGCGGGATTCCTGAACTATATAGTCATAGGGCAATCTATATTAAAATTAATTCGAAGATTTATTATTAAATGATTTTTTTTTTAAAAAGATAAAAATACTATGTTTTTTAATTCTAGAATAGTCTTTTATTAGTGATAAACTGATTTTCTTATTTGGTAATATCCGAGACTGTAATAGACACTATAGCTTTGATACCAGAATTATTCTTAATAAATCGCTTATTCTTTAATCTGAAATTATTGATATTATTGAAAATTTCGACCAATAGAAAGAATGAAAGAATTATAATACATCTATTACTTCCCTTAAAAGTAAATTAAGTAGATCATCCCATGACCTCATCATTATTAAACAATTGACCGATTAATGATCAGCAATTTCCCATAATATTATAAACTCATGATCTACAGGTATATTAAAATAGAGTTCTTAAGACAGTTCAAGTCATGTGGTGCTACTAAATTTAAAATTTTCATGACCTTGAGCAAAGATATCTTGATGCCACCCACCTAAATTTAATATAAATTTTCTATTTTGATAGTGTAGCTCTGTAGAATCGAAATAAAAAAAATTAATTAAATTTAGGCCAGACCAATTTAATTCGGTGGTTTACATTGCCCCCTCTTACTTATAGAAATCACATAATAAATTCGACAAAGAATCTGATTGGTTATTTGATCAGACAAATCAATCAAATTCTTTTATTGGATCTATTGATGGAGGTACTGTACTTAAGTATTTTTAGCCAAGTTTTATCAAATATATAAATACAAGTCTTGTGTGCCATTTCGGTAACAATGAAAAAAAGAGTTAGTTGTGTTGGAATTATTATGATTTTTATCATAATTTCTATAAAAAAATTCTGTTACAAACCTACTCGACACATAATATATTTTGAAGTTGAGTTTGCATCGAAATTATTATAGTTTCTATCATTAATTATCATAAAACTTCTTATATAAAGTTTGCTTGCTATTTTAATATATAGTTAGGGTTAAGTTATGTAGTTCACATTGGAATTCTTATAGTTTCTATCATGAGTTAAGGTTACAAACCTTACTATGTGTTGCATAGTTTCTGAAGAGTTCTTGCACTTAGTAAAAGGTACAAATAAATGAAGAGATATATAATGATTTGAAAATAGCAAAGGTGAAATGAAAATATAATTTGAGTAACTCATGTGATCATGCGATCGATCAGGATTATTATGGGAATCAGAGTGTTGGGCAGGGTTAATGAGACCAAGAACAAAGGGTATTGTTGTATCTAAAGTAGCCTCTATCTAAAGTCTAAAGTAATGCCTGACTAAAATTAAGCTCATCTTCATGTAACTATTAACAGATTTAAAACATGTCCCCTTGGTTGTTGTCACATATAAATCAAATGAGTTGACTCACCCAAATTTATATGTAAAATTTGACAAAAAAAACACTTTTCTTTAATTTATTTAAGAAAGTAAATATAAAAAATAATTTTAAATATGGGACTTATATTCTTTAACATTTAATGATTCTTAACAAAAATTATAGAACTAAATACCAAGTAGTTTTAAAAGGATCTTAAGCTAAAGTTGTTCAATTCTTCTCTATGTTCTTTAAGTCAAATGATTGACTTACTTAATACAATAATATAATTGGCTAAAGCAATTCTTTGAAAATTAAAGAAGGTTCTACTAAGTAAAGGTCTCTTCGGGTCTTAAGAAAATTTGTAGAGGTTTTTAGGATCTCATTGGTAGTTAAATCATCCAAATTGGCTTGGTGGATCCCAAGATACTTGGGGTTAAAGGTGCGAACATAAAGATCTGCAAAGTCACTGTTACACAAAAGATAATCATCTATTAGACGATTGTCCTTTGTATAACAGTAACTTTGCAAATCCCTATGTTCGCGCCTTTAACCCCAAGTATCTTGGGATTCACTAAGCCGATTTGAATGATTTAACTACCATTGAGATTCTAAAAACCTCCTCTACAAGTTTTCTTAAGACCCAAAAAGACCTTTACTTGGTAGAATCTTCTTTAATTTTCAAAGGATTGCTTTAGCCAATTATATTATTGCTTTAATTTTACAGGGGTTGTAAAGACAAAAAATACACCAACTTTAGAGCAAGATCCTTTTAAAACTACTTGGTGTTTAGTTCTATAACTTTTGTTAAAGGATTATCAAATGCTAAAAAATATAAGTCCCATATTTAAAATTATTTTTTATATTTACTTTCTTGAGTAAATTAAAGAAAAATGTTTTTTTTGTCAAATTATATATATAAATTTGGGTGAGTCAACTCATTTGATTTATATATGACAACATTTTGAACCTCTGTAGGGGGACATGTCCTGTGTCTGTTAAGTCAAAATTTTAGTCTGACGCCACTTTAGATGTACTAATGTTATTTATATTTTCAGTTAGGTGAGACCAATTCAATTCGGTAGTTTACATTACCCTTTTTGAAATTCATGCATAATTTCAGGTGGAGAACTTAATGCATGCCAGATAGAATTAAGACTAGAAATTGCAAGGTTCTGAAACTTTCCGAAGAGAAAGTGAACAGACGAGCAAGGGAGCCCGATAATTTCCGATTGAGAAAAAAAAGGTTAAATTTATTATATTATATGTTTGTTCTCTTTCCCCCTCTTTTGAGAAAGGAATGTAACGTAAACCACCGAATTAAATTGGTCTCGCCTTAATTGGAAAATTACCAAGATATTTACGCTCAATGGTTTGAAAATATTTAAGCCGCCAATCAAAATAATAGCTGCGGCAAAATTTTTGCAACTTGGCAACCACCAAGATTTTTTATTTTGATTTTACAAATCTGTCGAATCAAAAAAAAAATAATATTTTATCAAATTTAATTAAATGGTTACTGAGATATCTTGAACCTTTAAACAACCTACTGAAACAACAGTTTTTATAAAAATTTGAATAAGGATATATTGGCAACCACACAACTAAATTCGATAATTTTTTTATTTTAATTCTACAATTCTATGAAATCAAGTAAAAAAATTTATCGAACTTAGTTGAGTAGTTGCTAAGATATCTTCGCTCAAAGGTTTGAAACATTTAAAACGTCTATCAAAATAACTGCGGTAAATTTTATAAAACTTTGAGTGAATATATCTCAGCAACAACCAAATTAAATTCAATACATTTTTTTTATTTTGATCCTACAGATCCGTAGAATCAAATAAATAAAAAAAATTTACAGGATTTGATTCGTTAGTTACCGAGATATCTTCGCTCAAAGTTTGAAAACATTTAAAAGCCGATTAAAATAGCAACTGCGGCAAATTTTGTTAACTTTGAGAAAAGATATCTGATGACCACCCAATTAAATTCGGCAATTTCTTTAATTTTGATTCTACAAATAATGTATATAGAATTAAAATAAAAAAATTCATCGAATTTAGTTGGGTGGTCATCGAGATATTATTGCCCAAAGTTCTGAAAAAAAAATAACTTTCATTGAACTAAGTCACGTGCCTTGAGCTGTCCCTACTGTCCCCAAGAACTGTCCGTAGATCCTCCGGTAGTTCTAAAGCACTCGGATTATGTGTACCAGGTTTGTGACGCAGATATCCTGGACTACAAATCAGATTTCAAGATTAGGTGTAACGTAACACGATCATAGTATTCAAAACGTTCGTTCTGCCAAAAATCGCTCATGACTCAAATAATAAATCGCCTTTAGTGTTCTAACAAAAAAATTTCATTGGTAAATTTTACTATATAAAACATTCGCTAATCCTGACCTTAACCCTAAACTTAACGAA